CGTTGGTGGTCTGGAGGTGAAGTTGAAGAGGTTTCTGGAGGTGAAGTTGAAAGGTCGCGCGAATGGGTTGTGATTCAATTTTGGTTTCAGTTGATGTCGTTTTGGTTCAGTTTTCGTTTGATGTCGTTTTTCAGCTTTGGTTTAAAACTAAATACTGAAAATGGCATATGTTGTAATTTTCATATTTTGTAATGGTATTTTTGTTACATTTTGGTGTTTGGCCTTTTGCTAATTAGACTAAATTGTATTTCTTTCTACTAAATTAGTAAACTATATTATGGTTTAAAACTAAAGCTCCCTAATATTAATATACTGAGAATTAGTCAGACATTAATCAATTTGTTTTTTAGTAAGAGACTAATTTACTCCGAAAGTATGATTGTGGACTTTGACACCCATAATACCTTCCAAATGATGGGCAAATTATAAATTTTCTTGTTCTAGGTTGACAGATGGAATTTTCTAGTTGTACCATCTTGCCCTTGATCTTTCAAGTTCAACATAACGTGATTTGACAGAGAGTTTTTCTTAATAATATTCCTATTATATATAAGGGGCTTGTACATTTGTCCATGTATATGAGGTCTTAAGTTCGACTTCTTCCTATCCAAAATCGCTTGTGTAATTTTTTTTTTCTTCTTTATGTTATTAAAAAGTATTTAAAAAAAAGGAACCAAAACGTGCAATCACGGTGGCCGCCTCCTGTGTGGGTGGACAGTGATCCAATCTTCATATAAAATCTAGAAGATCAAACCAAAATCAACAAACGAACAAAATGAATCAATGCACTGCCAGACCAAGGGCTGAACCAGGAATTTTTCAAAGGGTTGGCTAGCTAAAATTATTAGCTTAAAATTTAATTAATTTTTTTTTTTGGTACTTATAATTTCTATGATCTTTCTAGAAATAAAAGTAAACATTAAATCATATAAACCACACTAGTTCATAGCTACATAGACTAATTTTCAATAAGTTTTAACATAAACCAAATAGGGTTTAACACAGTTGATTGAAAATCTAAGGCTTTTTACCTAGATTGACCTTAGGTCCCTTCATGCATTCATATCATACATGAAAAATTGTTTTATGTAAAAATATTGACTAAGTATAAAAAAAGGTTTTTTGGAATATTCCTTTTCTCAAGATAATTTTTGGCGGCTTTTATTCCTTACACATCAAATACGAAAACTTGATTTTATGGGATTTTAGTATGAAGTATATATTGACTTAATGAGCCATCATTTTTAGCCTAAATCTTATTTTGCACTAAAACCGATTTTTCATATTTTGATTTAATGAGAATTTGATTTTCTAGTATTTTTATTTGAATCCAAGTGGGGGTACTTCCTTATTTACATATTAAACTTAAGTAAATTGAGTAATATAAAAATAAATGAAAGTGATCCAATCTTCGAGACACGGCCTGCCACCGCCTGATGCCAATGCCACCCAAGACATACCATCCTTATGTGAATCCACTAGGAAACACAGCTTGCCTTACTTCAGAGACCTTTTGTCTAAGCTGAACTCTTCAACTGGTTGCCCTCCTGTAAGTTGTATAGTTTCTGATGGTGTCATGAGCTTCACTCTTGATGCAGCCCACGAACTCGGCATCCCAGAAGTGCTTTTCTGGACAACAATTGCTTGCGGCTTCTTGGCCTATGTACACTACCACCGCCTCATTGAAAAGGGTCTCACTCCTCTCAAAGGTATTAATCTCGCTCCTCTGACTTTTTCATGAACATATCTTGACTGATTTATATTTTATTTGTCTAGTGCGGACGTCCGGAACTGCTTAATGTCCGGAATGGTTTTGTTTTTTCACATGATCAGAATGAATTCATTCATTCAATGGAAAGGAAACCATTTCCATTTTGTTTTCTGCATCTCTCTTCTTTATCATTTAAAAAAAAAGCACTAAGGCGCACATAACGGCCTCCAAATTCTCTCTACAGTCCACCGATGAAGGAAAAGCCAGGTGATGTTTGACTTTTAAGTATTGGCAGAGCATGGTTTCTATTCTACCTTTACCAAGAAAAGTGATAAAAGTGTTTGGATTGATTTATTAGCACAAAGAAGGCAAAAAAACAAGTAGTCCGGACGTTAGAAAAAATACGGACGTCCGTAGTAGAGAACAACTCTGTATATGAATATCTTAACCTAACCATGTTGCTTAATAGAATAATAACGCACTATTTCTTTGTTTGATTCACAGATGCCAGTTATTTGACAAACGGCTATTTGGAGACGCAGATAGATTGGATACCAGGCATGAGAGGCATCCGACTAAAGGACATCCCCAGCTTCATTAGAACCACAGACCAAGATGATCTCATGCTGGATTTTCTGGTGCATGAAACAGAGCGAACTCGAAAAGCTTCTGCTGTCGTCTTGAACACCTTCCATGACTTGGAACATGAAGCTTTAGATGCACTTTCAACTTTGCTACCGCCTATTTACTCCATTGGACCCCTACATCTACAGATTAACCAGATCCCGTCAGATAGCGAGTTGAAGGACATAAGATCAAACCTATGGACAGAGGAACCAGAGTGTCTAGAATGGCTTGACTCTAAAGAACCTAACTCTGTGGTTTATGTCAACTTCGGAAGCATCACAGTGATGACAGCAGAGCAGCTAATTGAGTTTGCTTGGGGACTTGCAAACAGCAATCAGACCTTTTTTTGGGTGATTAGGTCTGATCTTGTTGGTGGGGATTCAGCTGTGGTTCCACCAGAGTTTGTGGAAGAGACCAAAGAAAGGAGCCTATTGGCAAATTGGTACCCTCAAGAACAAGTCCTGAGCCATCCGGCTGTAGGAGGGTTCTTGACTCACAGTGGTTGGAACTCTACTATTGAAAGTGT